GGCCCTCGAGAAGTGACTCCTGATGATCTCTTCCTTGTGATCATGATTGGTGACCCACCCATTGTTATGTTTAAGACGGTGAATGAAATTCTTCCTGTGGCGATGGTTTATTCAGAGGTGGAAGAAGCGAGTATTTGCATCCCCCTCTTTGAGGACAGTAATTCGCTAACTTTGCCTCTTTCTCGCCCGCTCGAGGACCGACAAGGCCACCACTTTTCTTTTAAGCTCCTTTCTGAGGTTCAGCTTGACTCTGTCGATCTTGATTTGATGGGTTTAGCTGTGCTATTTCCTTTATTCGGGCCGAGCTTCCCCTGTCTTCTTGCGTCTGTGCCATGCGTTGTACTCTCTCTTGTATTCATTTTATTTTATTCTATTAATAAAAAGATATGCAATCTCTGCGTATTCGTGAGAAAAGTAAATCACATGTAGGCGTACGCGTCAATTTGTTGTCTCTTTAGTTTACATAAACGTGGTCCTATACACATAAATACTGTTTTATTTGTATGATGTTGCTGGCAGTGTCGGTATGGCGTTGCTGTCAGAGCAATGTTTGCCATTGCAGTTCAATAATTTTAGGAAAACAAAAAATTATATCTCTGCATTTGAATATCTTTTACTATTAATTGACCTGCTGGGTCTTAGTATCTATATTAGCATATTCTTACTATATCTACTAATCTACATAGTAGGATCTTTGGTACTCCATGCACGGAGCTTTGAACAAGCACTTTTTGGAAGCCATAGAACAATGTTTAATGTTAGAGATGTATTTGGTTATTCATCTTAACAATCGAAGAGGGACAAACATACTTTTTTGTTCCTCGTTGTTTACAGGAGTGTGCCTGCTAGACAGGTTGGAAAAAATGATGACATTGAATTCTGGATAAATATATCGTGCAGGGAGATGTAGGTGTAACTCATGAGGATGTTCTCCAACAACCCCAACGAACGTATGAAGTATTAGCTGTTTATTTACAATGTATGATGAAGCCCTTCAAGAAAAATATGCGCACGTAGAAAGTATTTTATATGAAGATAAACGAGGCCATCATAGCGTTTTCCTTCCATTGCTGAACATACAACAAGTTCACGTGCGACTCGTTCAACACCATATCTGGTTCACAGCTATTCCAATTAAAGGTGCTACCAGCTAGGTCCAAGTCATGGTCGGCTAAACTTTCAATTCATATTCTTCTTGATATCTTGTTAGTTCATCTAAAGAGTTCTCACTGCATACAATATCCTCACCTGCTGCTTCTCATGATTAGCGCGAACCAAACTCCTGCGTTAGTCGAGGAACACGGCTAGCTGTCACACTCACAGATCAGTTGCGCTAACCAACAGTTGTTGCTGCCTTCTTCAAAGATTGTTCTTCTCATAAATTTCAAATTGCATAAGAATGATTGGCTGCACAACTGGCATTATGATGGAATACTGTGATAACTTCGAATTTCTAATTCCTTTCTTGTATTTATGTTTGCACGATGGCATTTCTTTACAAAATAAATCTCCACCGCGCAGTTCAACGACTGCAAGCGTAGTCAAGCAATCTACAATCAACATATATAAGAGGGTAACCTCAAGAGGAGGGAGAACAATGGCAGAAGCCATGCAAAAGATGAGTCTAGGAAAGAGACAAGAAGTCGTTAATCACCTTTTAATCAGGAGAGCCATGGACGTAGGTAGTAACATCACACATATCTAGGTTAAATAGATGATGTGGTATACAATAAATGAAGAAAGAGATGAAAGTGGTAACATAGCTAGTTACTACTACCTCCGTCCGGGTTTATTAGTCCTCATTGTATTTTGTGCCAAATTTTGACCATAAATTAAACTAACAAAATATTCACGCATGTCACCAAACATTATATTTTTGAAAACTATGTTCAAATACGAATCCAATAAGATAACTTTTCTTGACATGCATTAACATTTTGTTAGTTAAATCTAAAATTTGGCACAAACTATAAAGGGGACCTATAAACCAGGACGGAGGTAGTACTAGTATGAGTAACATCACACATATCAAGGTAAGATGTGTCTATAACCTAATAAATGAAGTGTTGCATGTTACCACACATATGTTACTACTAGTATGAGTAACATCACACATATCAAGGCAAGATGAGTCTATAGCCTAATAAATGAAGTGTTACATGTTACCACACATATGTTACTCCCCACTACTAGTCACAATGGTGAGTAAGACTAGCCACAATGGGTAGTAACATAGAGTAGTAACATGGGCATGTTACTACTCTATGTTACTACCTCTACAATGGGGAGTAACATATGTGTAGTAACATGCAACACTTCATTTATTAGGCTATAGACTCATCTTGCCTTGATATGTGTGATGTTACTCATACTAGTAGTAACTAGCTATGTTACCACATACCTCTCTTTCTTTATTTATTGCTTGCCACATTATCTATTTTATCTAAATATGTGTGATGTTACTACCTATGTTACTCCCATTATGGATAGTCTAACATACACTAGTAACATACACATATCTCCGTCGTGGTTTATAGGTCCCCTTTGTAGTTTGTGCCAAATTTTGAGTAAAGATTTAACTAACAAAATGTTAATGCATGTCAAGAAAAATTATCTCATTGGATTCGTATTTGAACATAGTTTTCAAAAATATAATGTTTGGTGACATGCGTGAACATTTTGTTAGTTTAATCTATGGTCAAAATTTGGCACGAAATGCAATGAGGACCAATAAACCCGGACGAAGGTAGTAGTAACATAAGTGTGGTAACATGCAAAGCTTTATTTATTAGGTTATAGACTCATATTGCATTGAGACATGTGATGTTACAGTAACTAGCTAAGTTACTATAACTACCTCTCTCCTCATTAACTCACTGCCACATAAGCAAATTTGCTGAGTTGGACTCGATGTTACTGCTGAAGTTACTCCCACTGTGGCTAGTAGACTAGTAATATGGCATGTTACTAGTCTATGTTACTATCCATTGTGGCTAGTCTAATGGATTGAATCCAACAAAGATTGCACCAGAAAAAACATAGCTTTAGTTCCATTTATTGCTAGTGTCACCTTGGATGGTTACATTTAAACCAACCTCCCAAAGAGGATTTTTGACGACGTATCACCGTTAGCGTTGCAAACAAATCGAGTTCGGGCTAGTTGGACTTGGCTTAGCTTAACTTAGCGAAGCTCAAGATCGAGTTGTAGAAAGTGGCTCGTGCTTAGTTTGAAACGATCTTCAGTCGATATCATGCTAGTTTCAAGCTAAATGCCATGGTTTTCGGACAAGGCAGACAACAACACAACATAAAAGACCAAATAGTATTCGAATCAAAAGGGTGATAATAAAAAAAACAAGGTAGTTTTACTAATTCTCTGTCAACTGAAGACTGGTACTTAATAGCAAGATATCGTGGTTGAACTAGTAAAAGTAGATGTGTCTGCTCTCAAACTTCAAAATAAACAGGATATTTAACACACAGCTGGGCATGTACCATATTGAGGCCTAAATTTTCTCTGCGTTGAATTATGCTTCCAAGTTTGCTAGTGGATAAAATGGTGAAAAATCATGCATAACATATATAGTAATAAAGTATCCTACTTTCTAATATATATCAGGATTATTTTATGTGATTATGGCTAGTGTTGGCTCAAGATCAACTCTGTTTCTCAATCGAGCCATAAAGTTTTTATACTCAGCTCTGTTTTTTCGAATTGATCTCGAGTCGACTCACAAGATGAATCGATCTTGAGCATCTCACCTCGAGCTTTTCTTGCAACCCTAATTACCGACAGCAGACCGCGCTAGCACATGGGGCCCCGAACTGACCACATGAAGTAATCACATTTGTCCGCTCCCATGATCTCTTGGCCACGCACAACATTCACCTCTTGGGCCGTGTGCGTGTGTGTGAATAAAAGAGACCCTCTTATCCAGTGAACTCAGCTGGGTGAGGCGGTGTCAAGATCTTGGATGTTGAGGCGGCGGCCTTGGTGGTGGTAGCGCGGTGCTCATAGGCAGAGCCCGTGGCTTCGTGCTGCCCGGTGGCCATGGCCGTGTGGGGTACGTGGTAGCCGCGGTGTGGCGTTCGGTGGCGGTGACTGTTGGCCGGGGTGAAAACCTGTTCTATCTTCGGATGAACCGGCGGCGGCAAAGCTCATTCCCTTGTTGAAGGCGTCGTCGCGGCTCTCATTGCCCGTCGTGCGGTTTCAGGGGAAACTCCGATCCTTAGATCGGGCATGGCAGCGCTCCGGTGCCGTAGCCTTCCTGAAGGTCCCGCCTTGAAACCCACGGTTCGTCATATACGACTTCATGTCTTCGCGATGGTAGTGCTAGGGATGGTGTTGTTGTGCTCATCGCCTATGTATCTTGTCTTGTGTATGTGCATGTGTTGTGGTGACGTGCGTTTGTACTGACTTGTTGATGATTATTGTTTTATATATAAAGCGGGACGAAAGCCTTTCTCAATAAGCATGACAACCGTGAACTGTCTGCATGGCAATTTATGCTTGTCAAGGATGGCAAATTTAGTTTGCTAGCTGCTGCCCATAGCAGAAGGCAATGTAACAGCACCTAAGCCAAACAGAGGTCTCAAACGTCGCCGTCATCGGCGTCACTTTCTTCCAACGGCTAGAAGAACTTGGCGCCCAATGGCCGATCACGAACGTTGTCGGTCTGGCGCTCCCCCAACAAACGTCGAGCTTGCCGTTCCAACGATCTCGATCAATGGCGCCACAAACAAATGGTAAGAAGAAGAGGCTTGCACAACACAAAACAAAGAACAAAACAAAGCCAGTTGAGAAGAGGGACAACGACAGCCCACCGGACCGGCTGGTGAGCGAAATACTCCGTCGTCCCCGGCTCCCGCAACTACGTACACACCTCCTCCCCTTCCCGCCAATACATATACACAGTAGCACACACACACCCTTCCTCACATCTCTCATCTTCTCTCTCCCCGGCCTCTATCTCTCTGTGGATACTGCTGTGTCATCCGCAATGGCGAGAAGCCGGCAGTCCATCCTCCTGGCCTTCGCTGTCGGGGCAATGGTGGCGGTGCTGCTGGCCTCCCCGGCGGCGGCCAAGAGCTACAACATCACCAAGATCCTGGCGGCACACCCGGAGTTCTCCAAGTTCAACGCGATGCTGAGCAAGACGCGGCTCGCGTCCGACATCAACCGGCGCCAGACCATCACCGTGCTGGCCCTGGACAACTCGGCCATGGCGGCGCTGGACCACTACACGCTGCCCACCGTCCGCCACATCCTGTCCCTGCACGTCCTCGTCGACTACTACGGCAACAAGAAGCTCAAGCAGCTCTCGCGCGGCGCCACCGCCTCCGCATCCATGTTCCAGGTATGCACACCACACAATTGTATACAGATTTTGGTGTGCACAATATATAGTTATCTCGAATTTTCGATAATTCTTACACACCCACAAGTTATCACCATTTTGCTAGATCTAAGTCACATGCCTTTTTTTTTTCAATATCCAAATCACCACCCTTATAATTTGCTATCCGATTTCTCTCTGCTGCGAATGGTTTGAATTTCTGTTTCAGAATTTTTTTTGCCATAGCCGAAACCACTGAATACACAGTTTTCATTTTTCGGCCAAAAGGAACGAGATTACCACTTCAATTCGATTGAAATCCAATCAAGCATTTTGAATTTAAAAAAATACTTTGATTTTCAATTTGTTTGTAGTACCATAATGGCTGGAATATTATGACCGGAACACAAATTATTTCAGTACTTACCCACAATGACTGAAATTTCACTGAAAGTGAACACCATACTGTTTGTTTCTAGTTGGGTGAACACCATACTTCTTTTTTTTGCGAATAGGGTGAACACCATACTTAAGATACATGCAGAGGCGGGGGAAGTCTTGATTAGATGACATGGACTGACATAAGTAAATCTAAATTGATTTAGGTATAAACATGCTATGTGGCATGAATTATGCAAGATACTAACCAACTGAGAAAACCAACATAAATTGTCACTTGAAAAAATAAAACCAATTTTTTTGTGGATAAAAAATAAAACCAATTTGAATACAAACAAATCCAAAATATGTATTTCAACCGCTCATCGGCCCTACTATCTAAACCGATGCTAATAATAGTAGTGGTGTTTATAGTGGGCGGCATTTCCTGACTGAGATGAGGGGCAAGGATGTGGTGTTCTGCTGTGGGTGTTTATTCAACGCACTTTCACCTATCGCAAAAACTATAGATTTTTTTTTTTTGCGAATAAAGCTATAGATACAATACAAGCCACTGAAATGCACTCCTTGGCAAAGGGACTGGCCAGCCATGGTATCATTTGAGTATCACATTTTCAACCCAAGTTGTTGATTCTTTGGCCACAAAATTCCGCGATGGTTGCATGATGATCGGGCCGTTGGTTGGTTGCCAAGTCACTAAAGCAGACAGTGGTACTGCTGTCGTACTAATTCACTCACGGATGTTTGGCACGGTAGGCTTGGAATTCCATACGCAGCCCGGTTGCCGTTTT